GGCTTTTAGTTGTGAAAAATAATTTGATTTGGAAATTCTTGCAAAAATGAAATAATTGTCAGATTCTAATGAATATTTTAGGGAAGAAATTATTTCAAAAAGATTTTCACTTTTACAAAACCTTGGCAAAAATATTTTTCTCATATCTGTTACCTCCACCATTTATTTAATGAAATTTTAAGAAATTCGTTTTTGGAGGACATAATGCTTATATTAGCTAAAAGCAAATGTCTTTGGAGAATTTTTATCATCTTTGTTTCTAAAACAGGATTCGCAACTAACGAATACCTACTCTGAATCTTAAAATAAAGCATGCAATAAAACTAAGACATTATTTAATTAGAAAAGATATGATTGTTTTTATGAAAAAGATATACTATTCTTTTAAGAAAAAATATTCGATGAATAATTAATTTTAAAAATATTTTCCATTAAAAACTAATGATAATAACATATAAAGGTTGAAATCTTTTTAAAATTCTGTATTAATTAGTACCATTTAGCTGATATTTTAATTTATTAAAGCTATATTAAATTATCTTAAATGAAAAAAAAATACTATAATTCAGTGAAACACAGTATTTTAAAAAGTATGTTGAATTTGTTCTGTGTGTTCCATTTTTTAGTAAATACGGATGTCCATACACGACATTATCAGAAAATAAGAGTGACAAATATATTAAACTTAAACCAAAGTATCTAAAGTTCAATAAATGTTTAGCTTACTTAGAAAATGTTTAAGATCAGTGTGTATTTAAAAAGTACATATAAAAAGGCCTTCACGTTATAACCGTCAGGTAATTTTTGCGGCTAAATTCCCCAGAGAAAATAAGTTAAATTTTCCAGTCAGGCTGTCGTTAGACCTGTCATTAACTCATAAAAAACACGCCCACCAAAATTGTTCAAAAGTGTTTTTTTCTGTGGTAACTTAAACTGAAAGTAAGTAATAATTAATTCTAATCATATTTTGATTAAACTTCAGATCAGTTAATCTTACTGAAATAAAGCCTCAGAAACGTATACTGCTTTGAAGATTTTTTTTTAAAAAGAGAATCAGGTTGCGTTCAGAGAATTGTAAATATGGCGGAAATCAGCAATTTTATGCGATTTAAACTAAGCGAAATTCATTCTGAAATACTGCATATTATTTTGGTTATTCGATGAATTAAATTTAATGCATTAACTTGAAATTAAAACTAAACTAATATATATATATATATATATAATTTTTGAAACGTAAATACGTAGAAGGAAATACTCCTGAAAGTCCCATTTTCAATAAAGAGATTAAATCATAAGAATACGTCTACTAAAATTATGCAGAAATTATAACAAATAAAAAGTAATCTTTTGTTTGCAATGCCTTCAAGTTACACGTATAACAGGCAGCTGGTGCAACAGATTCTATAAATACCTTTCCTTACTGCATTCAAAACTGCTTCGTGAAAATGAATATAATTATTTTATCTTCGAATCTTCAAAGCGTTGCTTTCTTGGGATTATTTGGTCTCCTATGTATTCAAATAAAATCAATGTTCCTCAGTTCTCAATAATTTTCTTAATATTCAAGCTGATGTTAACTATACTCTCGTCTGGAGGTTTCTGAAATATCCAAATCTCTTAGATTTCCAGTTCTTGCAACATTTTTTCCAGATTTTTGGGGGACTGTTCCAAGCATTCCAAAAAGGAGGTGCCAAGCCGTCACCTTCATTTTCAATATTTTTTAAATTCTTTTACAAGATTTGGATAATTATTTTTCCTTTTACTTTAGTGGTTTTCCGGAACAAAAGAATATAGTGATATGTATGTAAAAAAAAAAAAAAGCAGGAAAGAAGGAATGAAAGAATAAAGGAAAGATGGACGAATGACTGGAAGAACAATGGAAGAAGTAGAGAAAGAAAAAAGACACATAAAATCTAAGTAAAATATTAAAGAACGAAAGCCAGTTCCAAAAACACCGAGAAGGAAATTATAGACTAGAAAGTACATGCTGGTGATTATAAAATACGAAGAGTTGATTGAAGAAAGAGGATATAATTAAATAAGCAAATAAATAAAATAAAATAAAAATAGAACGAAGTCGATAAGTGCAAATTGATGGAAAAATAATTAACGCAAATTTGGCAGAATTTATACATCTAGAAAAAAGCGAAAGAATCAAAACTATATCTCTGTGTGCGACTGAATATCTAGAATATCAATATATTCTAGATATTCAGTCGCACACAGAGATATAGTTTTGATTCTTTCGCTTTTTTCTAGATGTATAAATTCTGCCAAATTCACATCAACAAAATTACAAATACAGTGGAACCTT